TCTTCATCTATTTCATTGCTATTTTTTAGAATATCTGGGGTCTTAAATTTTAAGGCACTTTAAACTTTCTATCTTAAAATGTTCATATATCAAAAATAATAAAAATATGAAAAGGGTTGTAAAATGTTTGTTCATGTCATGCAGGGGAGGTTTTTATAACAGTTATTTCATGATCATTGTATTTTGAAATCCTCTTTATCTTTAAAGAAATAAAAGCCCTATAAATATTGTTTTTCCCATTGTAAAAAGCTACCTGCATAAAAGTCTTCACTGATTTTGCAGTTTGTCAAATTTGATTTTAAATCAACATCACCTTGTTTTATCTCCACCAATTGTATTTAAGTTTAAATCTTTAGTTTAAGTGTCAGTAATCATTTGTATGTACTATAAAATGTCTTTAAAGGAATGTACGCTGAAAAAAGTTGATTTAAGTTTCTAGTCATAGGTGTTTTGTTATTAAATTTTCACAGAATGTTAATGTTGGAATTTGAAGTGAGTACAGATCAACTTTATGTATTCCAACTTCACTTTCTACCTAATAAGATGGTATGTAAATTAATTCTCTCATAAAGCTGGGGGAAATTATGCTTTTATTCAATCAGTAATTAGACTGCAGTGTCTTATTCAACCTACCACTCTTAGACATTAAAAGGAGTTGGAAGATGTCTTGATCTGATAGCACTGGAAAGAAGAGGTTATTCTCAAAGGAAAACAAAAAAAAGAAAAAAAGATTTTTTTCCTAGTCTGTTTTTAAATTCCTTAAGCAAGCTTGCAAATGTTTATTTTCAATATATGTTATGATTTTTGGCACATCAACAGAACACTATTATTTGTATAGCTTAGGTGAGGGACATTTATTTCTTACTAAAACTTTGTATGAAAGGAACTATATGGTTTCTCTTTAATAATGAAGTAGATAATAAGATAAATTATTTAGCACCTAAACTACCTTGGATTTATAAATACTGATTTTATATGTGGATTTTTTTTGTACAACAGCAAAATATTTTGTTTATTTGACAATTCTTTTGACAGGTTTAAATTCTTATCAAAATCACAATATTAATTCCATAAAATGAAAACACTCAACTCTGGAAAACATAGTAGGAGAAAAAAGTGATGAATTTGCAAATTCAGAGTTAGTACAAACAACTAATTTTATGAAATTCACCTTCTGATTTTACTTACTTTTCTTTAAAAAAATTAACATAATCATACAGTGGATTGGCTTCTAGATTGTTCCATTTCTGATATGTGTTTATATTAACATTTTATTTTAGTATCGAAAATTCACAAAAGTATATTTATCTCTAATCATTAAAGATTCAATTGTATAGAGAACAATTACTTACAGTTTTCATTATTTACTGGATTTAAGAGATATTTAGGATCACAAACATACGCATTCAAAAATACCAACACATGTTTAGGTAATTTAATTAGCTAGATGTGTCAGTATTATATTTAACACATATTGAAAGAAAAATCTTTATATTGCAATAAGTTATTAGCATACTGAAAAACTACTGCAGAATAAGCCCATTTTAATAAGCCATTTTGTGTTTAGATATTTAGGAAATAGAATGTTGATATTTGAACAGATGTAATCTCTTAATTTAAAGTTCAGCAAAAACAATACATTTAGAAAACTAAAATTTTAATTTTTACATTAGAGACAAGTTTAAAAATGTCACTGTACTGGATTCCTTTTTTTTAAATTTTTATTTATTTATGATAGTCACACACACACACAGAGAGAGAGAGAGAGAGGCAGAGACACAGGCAGAGGGAGAAGCAGGCCCCATGCACCGGGAGCCCGACGTGGGATTCGATCCCGGGTCTCCAGGATCGCGCCCTGGGCCAAAGGCAGGCGCCAAACCGCTGCGCCACCCAGGGATCCCTGTACTGGATTCCTAACATTTTATATATTTTGTAGTTATTTTGTTTAAAAGATCAGAGGAAAGCTAGTCTGAAATAAAAATAAAAATTATAAGTATTAAATACCTTCTTTTCATTATTGCTTTCACAGAATAAACTAATTTGCAAAACTTATTTGTTATAGAAGCTGAAAAGATAAATTCCATATATTCCTGAATCATTTTAAGTTACAAATTACTGGGACTAGAATTTATAAAGAAACACAATTTTTCACTTTAAAAAATTTGCATGTTTGAACATCACTTAGAGTTGGCAGAAATCAGATGGAACATTTGTATTTCCTGGGGTAGCATTCAACCTTTATTGTCCAGAGAATAGTATGGTACATATCAGTCACACAAATACATCTATGTACATTTACACCTTAGAAAAACTGGTGGAATGTGTATAAGTGTGCCTGTGGTATTGGTATCTTTAAATCTATCCTTATTTTATCTTTAAAAAAAATTGCAAGCATTATTCTTTTTTTTTAAGATTTTACTTATTTATTCATGACAGACATAGAGAGAGAGAGAGAGAGAGAGAGAGAGAGAGGCAGAGACACAGGCAGAGGGAGAAGCAGGCTACACAGGATTCGATCCCAGGACTCCATGATTGTGCCCTGGGCCAAAGGCTGGCGCCAAACCGCTGAGCCATCCAGGGATCCCCTGCAAGCATTATTCTTTAACAATGACTGGCAAATAATCTCATTTGCAATTTACATCATAATTCTTGGCCACATGCAATTTACTGAGGGACATGAGTCTATATTAATGAGAAAATATCAGCTTAGCAGTTTTATTTTAGTTCCAACTACAGGTCTAATTCCCTTTTCACACTCACTCCTGCGGGTTTCTAAAAGCAGAGTGTAGTGGCTGAGATTGCAGCTGTAGGATCAGTCTGTATGGTGTAATGCTTGTTGAACTGCTCTATAAAAACAGAGAGAACATTCTATAGATTACTGCAAGTGCGATTTTCAAAAATTGGCTGGGCTTAAAGAATCATGGAGGCTGCTGGTTAAATGTAGATTCATGAACTAAAACAGACCTACTGAGTTGCAAACCCCAGTGCAGAGACCTGGAAGTCTGAATTTTCCTCACCCAGCCTGGGCGATCAGATGATCTCACTTGGCAGAGCAGCTAATTTCACCTGAACCCTTCACTCACTCACATTCCTATTGCGTGTACAGTGTATAGCTTATATTCTAGTGAGCATTGGAGATGCAGAGATAACAAGAGCCCTGCCTCCTTAATAAGCTAGAGTGTGTAGTATTCTATGTTGCAGTAGAGTGGCAACCATCTTTAAAAGCTGTTGTCTTTGATGATAGGGTAGAAGCAATTCTTTACCTCATGCTGCTATAATGGAATACTATATATATATATATATATATATATATATATATATATACACACACACACACACACAAATTTTATTTCTTATATAAAGAACAAAAATTTATTTCTCATAGTTCTGGAGGCTAGAAAGTGCAAGATCATAGTACTGGTGAGAGCCTACTTCCTGGTCCACAGATGGTCATCTCACTGTGTCCTCACATAGCAGAAAGGGCAAACAAAGGAGCTCTCCAGAGTCTCTTTTTTAGAGGCACTAATCCCATTCATGAGGGCTTCACCCTCAGGAACTAATGACCTCTTGAAGGCCTCACTTCCAAGTGCCATCATGTCGGAATTTAGATTTGAACATAATTTTAGGGGGAAAACAAACATTTAGTCTAGAGCAGACACCTTGATATATCACACTAAAGGTTGAAACCCAACATTATGGTCTCAGAACAGAATCAGAATACATGATACTATATTTTATCTCTCCATGCTTTTCATAAAGGTGTTTTGTTTGGTTTTGTTTGTTGTTGTTCCTATTTATTTGTTTTTAGGACACTATGGCATATTCATGACATGGTTCCACTTTGTTAGTAGCTCTCCCTGAACTTCTGCCTTTCATTATTTCATTTTATTCTACTGTTGTTCCATCTCCTTTTATAATATATTCAGTGGTCTGATTACTGAATTATTATGTGGTCTCTTACAACCTAATTAAAAATAACTATGAGATCGGGGTTTTGGGAGATAATTTTATTGATGTATTTTACAGTTAATTATATATTGATAACAGTCCAGCATCATTATTTATTATAATTAGGCTAATTATAAAATGTAATTCCTAGAATATCCAAGGTGTTCAACTCATGCTTACAGCTATCATTTTGAAATATAACTTTTGCTTGCTGATTACTACAACCTTTCTTAATTGGTGGATAAATTATTCTTTGTTTTTTATATGGAGAAATTTATTTGGAAACATCAGTATCCATTACCTAAATGAGAATATAAAATGTCCCACAGTAAAGCTTTTGGGTGATAAGATGATAAGAACAACAGAACATAGTTGAGAAGATGGTCACACAATTATTTTCATCAACTAATACAACTCATGACTTTTCTACTAAGCAAAGTTTACCAGTTAAGGGATTATTTAACCCTGAAATACTTCACTGTATTTTTAATTTGAACATGCTAGGGGGTCTGATGCTTGTCAGGCTTCCCTTTAAGTATTTAGCTTCTTTTTGCAGTGACTAGCATATAATCTACTAATGTTCATTTGGAAATAAAGAATGGAAAAAGTACAAAAGTACAATTAGATGACTCAAGCATCTAATGTCAGTCTTTTATCAACAATGAACCCATGGTTGGCAATTATCTTCTCAATGACACTTTTCTTCTGTCACTGTTGGGTTATGGTGGATTGTGGAATTACATAAGTAGGGAGCTACCATATCCTAATTTCTTTTTTATTTCTATACCTTCTAAAGATGTTTGACTCTAGGAAATACATCTTACATAACGTGTGTGTGTGTGTGTGTGTGTGTGTGTGTGTGTGTAATGCCCATTGTTGACCAGCCATTATCCTTGGAAAACTAAAGTGAGTTTACTAGGCTGAGCATTTCCCACATGGATCCTTAGGTTGGATAGGATGCATTAAGCTCATTTACTGTCTGGTGCAGAGAGATGCACATTTTTAACATGAATACTAAGCATTTTCATGTTTGACCTCTGCTTTTGTTACAGAAACCCTTGAAACTCTCATCAGACAGGCAGAGAATTACACCAGTATACTCTTCTGCAACACCTACAGGAACATGGCCCTAGAGGCTACAGCTTCAGTTCAGGAGTTGTTCACTGACGTGGGGCTTTATTTATTTGGCGCAGACATTAATCCTGACGAATTTGTAAACAGATTCTTTGACAGCCTTTTCCCTCTAGTCTACAATCACCTCATTAACCCTGGTGTGACTGACAGTTCCCTGGAATACTCGGAATGCATCCGGATGGCCCGCCGGGATGTTAGACCATTTGGTAATATTCCCAAAAGAGTAATGGGGCAGATGGGGAGATCGCTGCTGCCGAGCCGCACGTTTCTGCAGGCGCTGAATCTGGGCATTGAAGTCATTAATACCACAGACCATCTGCATTTCTCCAAAGAGTGCAGCAAAGCCCTCCTGAGGATGCAGTACTGCCCTCACTGCCAGGGCCTGATTCTCAGTAAGCCTTGCATGGGCTACTGTCTCAATGTCGTGAGAGGCTGCTTGGCACACACCGCAGAGCTGAATCCACACTGGCATGCATACATCCGGTCACTGGAGGAGCTATCAGATGCTATGCACGGAACGTACGACATTGAACATGTGCTCCTGAACTTCCATGTGCTTGTGAATGATGCTGTAATGCAGGCTCACCTCGATGGACAGAAGTTATCAGAACAGGTAAGCAGCCGCTCCACATTCCTCCCAACTGATTGCTTGAACTCAGGGATTAGCCACATACATAAAGTTCCATTGATTATAAGCACCTCATTATGTACTTTAAAATGATGGCAGCTTAACAAGTTAACACATCAGGATATAGTGGGAGAATGCATGAGTTGCCATGTTTGAGTCAGGATATATTTTCCACATCTTACAATGACAGTTTGGTTAGCTAACTTTCCACTTTCTCCTCTCTGTAGAAACCTTCTCATAGGGTTAGTTCAGTGGGGTAGAGAGGACTCAGGTTTAAAATTGGGACCAGCATGGATTTGAATCTGCTCTCTGCCAGTAATTCTCAGATGCCTTAGATTCTTTGAGCCCTTTTCCTTATTGATAAAAAGAGAATAGTAACATCTAACTTTTGGAGTATTCTTTTTTTAGGAAGATACACAATATGTATGCAAACTACCTAGTATGATGCCTGTTACTCAAAAAATGAGTAGTTATTGATAGCATTTCAAAGGTGTTCAGCATTGGAATGGAAAATTCCAATTATAAATTCATTAAATGAAGACTTGATAGCTTAATGTTCAAAGGTGTTTCTTCAGAGACTCAGAATCTGTCATAGTAATGGTATAATGATTTTTCAAAATGTGGTATATGCAACATCGTGGTGTTTTATTCCAAAAAGACTTTAGGAATTTTTTGAGACAAAATCATCAAGTAAAAGGGCACAAGAGTTCTCTATTTCTCCCATCTTCTGTAGAGTCATTTTCTTACTTATTCACAGGCTCCTGAGTAACATTCTCATATTCCATACAGTGAAGTAGTAGATGTTGCTGATGTTTACCCTAAATTATTTCTCCTGAAACAAAATTATATTCATTGGTGCTGAGAGAAAACATCTCCCCACTCACTCTCGGTGTGAATTTACTGAATTAATAAACATCCTAATCATTAGCCTAATAGTCTAAATTAATTTCTAGTAGATATTGGATCTGAAAATATTTATGTTCAATCATCTCCTTTTTCTTCCGAACTTCCAGAGTCTTTGCAGGGCCTGTGTGAGCCTATAAATTACGCTTATGCAGATTAGACATGGTGCCCTCTTTAGGTGGATGCCTCACCATTGTATGGCTTGGTGGGTAGAGAGTGAGCTATATTTCAACTCCTGCTTCCCAATTTATTCAGCTGGGTGTCCTTACACAGTGAACAAGATTCCCAACCATATGCAATGGTCTGGATCTTTTTGCAGTTTTGTTCCTTTCTGGAGATCGGATAAGCACCAGAACTTTGGAGGGGAATATAATGAGCCAGCTCAAAATGGGGTATAAAAGACATTTAAGGTTTCAAAATGTCTTAGGAGAAATGAACACTAAGATCCAGGAAACAACTATTAGTATTATTATATTGAGTGTCTATTTCAGAAGGCAAAACAGGCACAGGAGCTCTGAAACCAAGTCCAGATTTGATTATTAATTTGGGGTATGCCTTATAACCTGCACAGGTTATATATTCCATATTCTATACTCTCTATATTAGAGTTTTCTAATATATATAAGTAAATAGGTTTTTAAGATTCCTTTTATTATGTATTTTGGAGAACTGGAGGGCCTTTTTGTATCCTTAAGATCTATCAAATAGAAAATTATCTGTTATTCCTATTACAAACACTAAACTAACACAGATTCATACTTAGATAAACATGTTTTCAAATCCTGAGTTTGCTAGTCATTTGTCATGTGTCTATAAAAACCCTTTGATTCTGTTTTGTCTTACGTAGATAAGGTAGAAATGGTTCATGTGGGAGAATGTCAATAAGGCTCTGACATTGATAGACACTGGTACTGGAAAGCTTGCTTTCTTACTTTACCAATCTTAAGACCAGGGATAGGGGAACCTGCTTCAGGGAAGCAGGTTACTTAGTATCTCAAAGGATTAGAATCATCATCGTACTCATGTCTTATAAGTAAGATTTATTTATTTATTTATTTAGATTATTTATTTATTTATTTTAGACAGAGAGAGCAGGTGAGCAGAGAGGGGCAGAAGGAAAGAGAATCTCAAGCAGACTCCCTGCTGAGTGTGGAGCCTGATGTAGGGTTCAATCTCACAATCCAAGATCATGACCGGAGCCCAAACCAAGAGTTGGATTCTTAACTGACTGAGCCACCCAAATGCCACTGTAAATAAGTTTTAAACAAAACTTTTGTCATATGCAACTCTGTAATGATTTTATAAAGGATGTTATTTTCTTTGAGGCAAATTGTTTGATTTGATATAATCAATAGTCTTTTGAATATCTTGAGAAACATCAGTCATTACTAATAAGCTGTAGATTCTTTTCTAAATAAAACAACTGAGATTCTCTTTTAAGCTGATGGCAACAAAATAAGGAGATACTGACTTAAAATTCCTTGAACACTTACTCATTAACATTTATTTCTGCCAACTTCAAAGTGATTTATAAGCTGTTTATCAAGCTTCGATAACCAGTTCACACATCAATGAATTTCACAAATTCAAAATAAATTACTGGGGAGCCAGCAAATAATGACTTTTTCACATTCCCAAAGCAATCTCTGAGATCTAGGACTTCCAAGTCTAGTCCTTAGTAAATACATATTTTCACTTTAAGAAATCCATAGAGGTATCTGCTGTATCATGTTTCTGTTGGATGAGTTTCAACTGGAAAGAAAAATGTTTCAGTTTCCTGAGAAAATTGTAAGTATCTTCTATTTAATAAGCCATTAGAGAAATAGAATCTAATTTACAATGGAGTATTTTCATTTTATAATTATTCTGGGAATTAAGACAATATTTAATAAAACATTAACAGAGAGTCAGCAAAGTGTAGATATTAAAAGCACCAGCTCTCCTGTCCAACTGGATTTCACATCTGTTCTACCACTTATTAGCTATGAGTTTGCACATTTGATTACTAATCTCTTTCTTTAGTTTCCTCTTTGGTGAAATGGGGCAATAATACCTACATCATGGAGTTTTTGTAAGAACAAAATGAGCTTTCACACTTTGATTAATGTCTTGTATATGGTGGATGTTTGAAACCTCCTAATTATTTGCACCTTGTATTATTTATTTATGAATACTTTGTTGATTTCTCTATTTTAAATGCTGCCAAAGCAAACACACCTTTTAAAATGTGGTGTTGCGTTGACAAAAACATTTCCTTAATCATCATTTAATGTAAGCAAATAACTGTAAAGATTTTTTTTGAGAATAAACCCTGGAATTTTCAGAAAACATTATACAACTTTATAATATTTTTAATATTAATTAATATTAATTAATAATTAATACATATAGGAGATGATTTAATGATTTCTTGTTAGGAAATCATTTATTTATTTTGTAAGTAACAAATTTTTTGCTAAGATGGTATTTAGCATATTATTTATGAATATAATTTAATATTTTAACTTATTCAAAGAACCTAGGATCTCTGTTAATTTCAGTGTTTCAACATCCCCTGAATGGAACAAGTACTACTAAGAAACCCAGCTGAACATTGATTCCATACAATTTTAGAAACAAAGTGGGTTTTTTTTTTTCGCTTTATTGGCATACAATTGACAAAAATCACATTTTTATTTAAGTATTTGGTAGAATTCACCAGTGAAATTTAGTCCTGGCTTTTTCTTCATTGAGAGGGTTTTGTTTTGTTTTGTTTACTGATTCAGTCTCTTTGCTCCTTATTGGTCTGTTCAGATTTTCTGTTTTTTTCATGATTTAGTTTTGGTAGGTTCTATGTTTCCAGGAATTATCCATTCATTCTAGGTTATACAATGTGTTGGCATAGAGTTTTTTTTTTTAAGATTTTATTTATTTATTCATGAGAGACACACAGAGAGAGGCAGAGACATAGGCAGAGGGAGAAGCAGGCTCCCTATAGGGAGCCCGATGCCAGGCTTGATTCCAGGACCCCAGGGTCACCACTTGAGCCAAAGGCAGATATTCTACCACTGAGCCACCCAGGTGCCCTGGCATATAGTTGTTCTTAGCAGTCTCTTATGATCCTTTATATTTAAGTGGTGTTAATTGTAGTGTTCTCCTCTTTCACTTACAATTTTGAGTCTTCTCAATTTTTTTTCCTTAGTCTAGGTACTTTTTTATCTTAAAAAAAAAAACAGATCTTAATTTCATCAATATTTTCGATTATTTTTCTAGTTTCCATTTCATTTATTTTTGCTTTAATTTTTGTTATCTCTTTGCTTCTTGTAACTTTGGGCTTCATTTATTCTTTTTTTCCCCCTAGTTAAAGTTAGGCCATTTATTTGTGACTTTTTTTGTCCTTGGTATAGGTGTTCATCACTATAAACTTCCCAGCTAGCACTGCTTTCGCTGGATCTCATAAATTTTGGTATGCTCTGTTTTCACAACTGGGAGTTGAGGTTTTTCTCTGGATTGAATGGAGCTTTGCTGAGGATGGGATTTATGGCAAGTGTGCATCTCAGTCCTTCCTGCCCATCATTGTAGTGCTTTCTCATTCACTCAGTGTCTTCAGCTTGTTTTCTTTCAGAGGAAACTTCTCCATGGGTAGTTGTACATTTGGTGCATCTGTGGGAAGAGAGAAATTCAGGAGCCTCCTACGTTGCTATCTTGGGAATTACTAACACAAAACTTTTTTTTTTTTAAGTCTGTAATGGGGGATCCCTGGGTGGCGCAGCGGTTTGGCGCCTGGCTTTGGCCCAGGGCGCGATCCTGGAGACCCGGGATCGAATCCCACATCGGGCTCCCGGTGCATGGAGCCTGCTTCTCCCTCTGCCTATGTCTCTGCCTCTCTCTCTCTCTCTCTGTGACTATCATAAATAAATAAAATTTAAAAAAAAAGTCTGTAATGGGTTTAGAAACATAATTTCCAACAGTAAAAGTCCTAATTTGTATTTTTAAATAGATAATCAGTTTTTCACATCTCTTACCTATGCACTATTAGGAGAGATTCAGATGGTTGCATTCAAATTACTTTAGAATAGCTATTCACTTCAGTTTTAATACCT